TCAGGGTGAGGAGGAGGAGGCTGAGGGCAGCCCTCATCCCTCTCTGCAGCTCCTGACAGGACATTGCAGAGAGGCCGGGGCTGGGCTCTGCTCCCAGGGGATCAGGGACAGGACAAGAGGGAACGGCTGGAAACTGCCCCAGGGGAGGGTCAGGCTGGGCAGGAGGAGAAAATGTTTCCCAGCAAGAGTGGTCCGAGAGTGGAACAGGCTGCCCAGGGAGGGAGGAGTCCCCATCCCTGGGGGGGTTTCAGGGCCGTTGGGATGAGCTGTGGGGGATGTGGGGTAGGGGAGAACTGTGTAGAGTCGGGCTGAGGGTTGGACTCGCTGACCCCGAGGGGCTTTTCCGACCTGAAGGATTCGGTGATTCTGTGACTCTTGGCAGCGCCATGGCACGACACGCCGGCCCCCGGCTCCCCCTGATCGTGAAGAACCTCATCCCGACGCTGAGCAGCGTCTTCGACAGCCAGAGGATCACCAGCACTGCCTTCCTCGCCGAGGTGAGCGGGGGGTGGCTGCGGGCTGGCTCATGGCCCTCCATCCCTCCGTCCGTCTGTCCGTCCGCGCCCGGGATGAGGGTTAAGCTGCAGCGGGGCTCTGCCCGTCCTCGGCTTCCCGACCCTCTGGTGGAGGGGATGGCAGAGAAGCGCCTGCAGGAGTCCAACTCTGAACACATCACCGCCGTGAGCCAGCAAACCGTAGCTCCGTCCTGACGTACCACCCCCAGGAATGAAGTGACTCAAGTCCTTTCCCCTCGCCGGCGGCGCAGCCAGCAGACTGTAACACTATCTCCCCGTACATACCACCTTAAAGCCCTGGGCCACTCGAGGAGCTTTTGTTACATAAAGGAGCACCTTATGCCAACAATGCAGAACTATATCCCCCCTTATAAACCACCTTTTAAATTCTCAGCTGCTTAAGCAGCCTGGGATTAAGGCACTGTTTTTATTTTCTGTTTGGCTGGGGGAGCTGCCGGCCCGGCTCTTGGAGCCTGTCCCAGAATCTGCTTTAGTTTTGGAGTGTGGTTGGCTCTCTGCATCCTTCAAGGGTTTAAAATAGCAGCTTTGCCTCACCGTGGAGCTGGAGGGGAAGGAAGCAAATGCCTGTGTCTCCCTCTCTCAAAACTGATGAGGTGAGAGCTCAGTCCCTTTTCTCCCGGCCGTGCCAGTGACGGAGATGACAGAGGGGAAGCGAGGAGGGGAACGGAGCAGCAGCAGGACGCGCGGCACGGGGCCGCTCTGCGGCAGCTCCCCCAGCCCCTGTGGGGTCCCCCCCGGGGTGACTGTCACCGCCTCGTCCCGGCAGGCTGGGGGGGCTGTGTGCCAGCCCCTGGGACCCAAGGGGGTGCTCTCAGTGCCACCCAGGGGTGTCCAGCCCAACCTCTGTGCTCACACCACGGTGCCTGCGCCTGGGCAGGGTCCTTCTCGGCCCCGGCCTTGGGGGGCGCACACAGGGAGACCCCCGCCACGGCTGGGGCCTGGAGCAGCCCCCCTGACCCCATGCACTGGGGCTAAACCCCAGCACAGCCACACCAGCACCCGCCAACCAACAAGTGCCCCTTTGGCGCCGGGCTCCTGCGACCCCGCCGGCGGTTAAACCTTCCCCTAAAGCCGAGCCTGAGCCGGGCTGCAGCGGGCAGGGCCAGCGACCTCCTCGGAGCACACCCCACTCTCCCCACGCCGCGGGGGCTCCGCGAGGAGGGTCAGGGGGGGAGCAGCCCTGCCTGGAGGGTTGCACTTTGTCCATTCACGCCTGTAAATACTCCGGCCTCTCCGTAGCCAGCCTGGTTGGGCAATCTTGGGGCGAGGGTTTAGCTTTGGCGTCGGGTTCATGGGTTTCTCCTGGCTGTCAGTGCTCACCTGGGCTTCCCCTTTCTTCCCAGCTTGGGGGGCCTCAGTTGTCTTGATTTACACATCAGAAGTTACTCTAGGTTCCCCACATCCAAGTGTCTGCCTGGGGGTTGGGGGCTGAGGGCTCCCCCAGCCCTGTCTGTGGGTGAGACAAGTAGGGAGTGAGGGCCCGAGGGGACCCAGGGGACAAACCAGGTCTGCCGGGGCTGTTCTGCGCCGTGGAGGAGTCAGAGCATCCGCAACTCGGCTGTCACCTCCCTTGTGGTTCGTGGGCCTCTCTCCTGTCCCTGCTGAGACTTTTTCTTTTCCTGCTTCAGCTCCTCAGCAGTAACGTGGTGAATGACCTGATGCTGCTGGAGACGGTGATGGATAACATGACGGGGAGGCAGAAGGACGCCTGCACCTTGGTGCGGATGCTGGCGCTGCGCGGGCTCGGCAACATTGCCTCTGGCTCACCCGAAAAGGTGAGAGCGAGCTCCATGTGCTGGGCCCGAGAGCCCAGGCTGGGAGAAAAGGGAGCAGGGACCCCCCGGGAGATGCTGCTTGTCAGTGGCAGGGAAGGGGTTTAAGCAGGACAGTCGGGCACCCCCTCGCCCTGGCCAAAACCGAGGTGGTGGCTGTGCCTTGGGGCTGCTCTGGGGCAGACTGGCTGCTTTAGGAGACACCCAAGGAAAAGCCTGGCTTTGGAGGAAAGCCTGGCAACCTCAGGGGGGAGGTTGGCTGGCCCGACTGAGCTGGGTCATCCACGGGGCTTGCCCATACAGGCAGCAGTGTGGCGCCTGTGTCAGACCTGTGAGCTCGTCGCTCTTTCATGCTGTTCCAGTGGTTTTGCCACTGACAAATGGATCCTCCGAAGAAAAGTCGCTCCCGTCCCAGCACTGGGCTTCAAGCGGGTGGGAGTTGGCGGTTCAACCCCCCCGTTCTGCCCGGGGAGAGGAGCTGATGCCCCAAACCCCGCAGGCGTGGGAGCCGTGGGCCGCTGCCCTCACCCCATGGCTCTCCTCGCCGATCAGCGGGGGCTCGTCGGGGCCCCCCCGTGCCAAAGCCCGGGGAGAGCTCACGGGCAGGCCCGCCCCAAGACAATGCGCTACTGTGACGCGCTGGTAGAATCTTAAGTTGCTCCTAAAACCACCGTTTTGGTGGCATAAACCCGGCCAAAGCCGCTGCTCTGGCAGCATTTGGAGCTTTGGGCTGCGCGTGCCAGCGCTGCCTCGGGGAAGCAAGAGCCCAGCAGTGAGCGTGGCCGAGTTTCCACCCTCCCGGGCCGTGCTGCCGGTGCTCCCGTCCGGGATCTGCCCGGGCAACTCGGTGTGGCAGCTCTGGGCGGGCTCCTACCGTCCGTCTGTCCGTCCTCGCCCCCTCCCAGATGCGCCCCGTAGGGCCGCGCCGGACAGCACGGCAGAGTTTGCAAAGCCGAGCGCTCAGGATTAAATGCCGACAGACTTAACGTGGCTTAAGCAAACTTAATTTCCCCCTTCGCTGCATAGACACCGGCTCTAATTCCAGAGCGAAATGCTGCGGGCGGGGTTCCAGCGGGAGGGGAAGCGGTGGCGGCCGTGAGCAGTCACCACCTTGCCATGACTGTGCTGAAGGCGCTTCGCCCGCAGCGGCCGTAGTTTAAATCGTCTTCCAGCTCCTCCTGGCTGGTGGCGTGGGGCAGGAACCTGCTGCGGGGCACCCGGGGGCCTGGGGACCAAGTTTCTCGCCGCTTCCCTTGCAGGTGAGGAAGCACGGGGCCAAGCTCCTGGCCTCCATGGTCAATGGCATGGATGACAAAGACGACCCCCACAACCTGGTTGCGCTCGAGGCCATGTCCAGCCTCTCCAAACTCCTGGATCACGTGGAGGAGAGAGACATCCAGTCCATGCTCCTGCACATTGCCATCAGGATCCGGCCCTTCTTCGACAGCGTAAGGCAGCGCCCGGGGAGGCCGAGCTCGTGCTTTTTGCCACCTGCTCGGGTGCCGCGGGGACGGGGGAAGGAGACCAGGGCACCACAGCCCAGCTGGTGGTGGCCCCATGGAAGGGGCGGTGTACGGATGTGGCCCCCCGGGAGCATTGTCTGCTCGGCCACAGTTCCTCCTGGGCGTGGGGATGAGCCAGACGGGGTCACAGGGGTGCCCTGAGGTGGGAGCGAGGGCCAGGGGAGAGGGGGGAAGCCCTGGGGGTGCCTGTCCCAGGGGCTTTCACTGCCCTTAGCGTTCTCTGTGCCCCCCCAAACCCCTCCAGCATCACCACGGTGAAGCTCAATGCTTCTCCCACTGAGCCCGTCCCTGCTCCTGCCACAGCCCCGCCGGGAGTATCCCCCACCCCCAGCCAGGCCCTCACTGCGCCCCACGCTCCGGCTGTGGGGTGTCACCGTCAGCGTGAGCAGAACTGCAGCCAGGAGTTACCCAGCTCCCTCCCCCTCCACGTGTGTGACTGCTCTGCCCCTTCCGAGAGCCAGGGGGGTGCAGCATGGAGCCCCCCCACACCCCAGCACCTCCCGGGTGCTCCCTGTGACAGCTGGTGGGGGGCTCTGCGTCAGGGGGAGCAAAACGGGTGACAGTGGCTGAAATTTGGGATCGAGAGGCAGGAGCTGTGCTTTTGTGGAGACGTTGGGTGGGAGGGAGAGAGTTTACACCCCCAGCAGAGCCCGTCCTCAGCCCATGGGTGGTTTTGTTACTTCCTGGTGAAGAATTGCCTCAAATACTTTTCAAAAACAAAATAAGAAAGCAAGCTGAGGCCCTGCAGCTGAGGAGCGGGGCAGCCTGGGAAGGAGGTGCTGAGGGTTCAGGACAGATGGAAGCATTAACCAGCGCCAGGCCCCGAGGGAATGGCCTCAAGCTGCCCAGGGCAGGGTCAGGCTGGCTCTGAGGAAGGATTTCTGTGCAGAAGGGGCTGTTGGGCGTTGGAATGGGCTGCCCAGGGCAGGGGGGAGTCCCCGGGATCCCTGGGGGTTGAAGAGTCGGGCTGAGCCAGCGCTGAGGGGTCTGGGGGAGTTGGGAATGGTCAGGGGAGGGTCATGGTTGGGCTGGAGGAGTTCAAGGGCTTTTCCAACCTGGATGATTCTGTGGATCTCTGGAAGTGTTTCTCTTGCTGCCCCCCAGCCTGAGAAGCGAGGGGGTGGGTGGGGGGTGCGGCCCCGCCAGCCGTGTCCCCCGGTCCCTGCTGAGCCCTGCTCGTCCCCTCTGTCACCGCAGGAGCAGCCTGACCTCCGCCAGTCGTCCATCATGCTCTTCGGCAACCTGAGCAGGTTCAGCGAAGGCAACTGCGAAGTCTTCTTCGAGCAGATCCTGAACGGGCTGGTGACGCTGCTGCTGCACCTCCAGGACCCGAAGCCGGAGGTCGTCAAAGTGAGTGTCCCCGCTGCCCGCGCCGGGGGAGCGCCCTGGAGCACACGCTGCAGCCTCCCCTCTCTCTGCCCCAGGCCTGCAAGTTTGCCCTGCGCATGTGCGGCCCCAGCATGGGCTGCGAGGGGCTCTGCGACATGTTCCTCAACCACCTGCGCGAGGAGAGGAGCCTGCACTACGGCGAGTTCATGAACAACGTCTGCAAACACCTGGTGAGCTCCCGCCCGGGCCCCTGGCACCGGCGCTGCCCGCGGGGCTCGGGTCAGGGTCCTGCCCCTGCGCGTCCCCCACGTCCCCGAGCCCAGGTTTGTCCTCAGCCTCCCCTTGAGCTCCGGGCTGGTGTCCTCCCAGGTGACATCCCCACGCTGGGGGCCCGTACTCCTCCTCCTGGTTTGTTGGGGATTAAACATAGAACGGCGCGTGCAAATAAAAAAAAAATATCTCTCTGGTTTGCTAAGGGGGGATGGTGAGCGCGTTTGCCAGGTCTGCGGCAGGTGGGGTGAGAGCAGGGTGGGGGTTACTCGCAGGAGGAGCACAAATACGAGCCCTAGGGCGTCTTTTGGGGAGAAATAAGGGCAGATTGGGATTTTGCTGCAGTTTGATACGATGCCTGGAGGGTTGTTTGAGCCTGTGATCGGTGGAGAAACATCAGTGGGCGAGTGAAGAATGGAAAGGTCGATTTATTGTTGTTCCAGTGTTGACGACCTGTGAAAAAAAGTGCAGCCAACCAGTAGAACACCCGTTCATCAGCCGACTAGCCTCCCTCGCCTACTTTACCGCCTTCCTCATCCTCTTCCCCATCACCAGCACCTTCAAAACCGAAATACTCAACTACTAAAAATAATAGTTCACAAAAACCATCACTCTTGTAAACCAAAGAACAAAGGCTGTCCCTCCTCTCAGAGTTCTACTAAAACACCTCAGAAAAAGGGGGGGCTTAAACCTCTATCTCCAGCTCCCAACCCAGTGGTTTTGTACTAAACTATTCCCTGACCCTGTTGGCTGTTTCCCCCCCAGATGCAGAGTTACCCTGAGATGCTGAACCGCCTGATCCTCACCAACCTCTTCTACTTCAAGAGCAACTGGGTGGACATCCGAGCCGCCGCGCCCATGTTCATCGGTGAGGCTGCTCCCGCGCCGCTCCCCGGGCCTCGCGGGTGCCCTCTCGTCCTGCCCTCGCTTTCCGTCCCGGCCGGTGCCTCCACATCCACCAACCTGCGCCCCGCCGGGCCTGGGCCTGGGGACAGACACACGTCTGATGTCCCCAGGCGGTGCTGGCACCCCAGGAACTTTTTTTCTCCAGCCGCTTGCCACGAGTGTGCGGCGGCACCTGCCCGTGACCAGCTGGGGTGGGAAACACGTGGCTGGGTTGTGCTGTGGGTCGCGTGCCCACCCTGCCTGGGCACTGGTTGCCCGTGGGCTGCTCAGACGATGCCCTCGGTGGGCTCTGTTGGGGGTGTAAACTCCCTCCCACTTAACGACTCCACAAAAGCCCAGCCCCTGCTTCTCCATTCCAAATTTCAGCCACTGTCACCCCCTGCACAGACGTCGCTCGTAAGGTTCCGGGTGTCTGCCCCCAGCTCAGGGTGTTTCTGCCCTTCCTCCCTCCCGAGGAGGAGGAGGGAAAGGCCCCGCCTTGCTTTTACCCCTTGAATATCACGTGTGGGGCAGGTTTTGCTGCTTTTACTTCAGATGTGCCCAGTGGATGCTTTAGCTCAAGTTGCCAGAGCTGCGGGCGGGGGAAGCGCCGCCAGGCGTCTCCTGAGGGTGCCCGTCCGGGTGTTGCACCCACGATGGGCCTCGCCCCGGGGGTTGTTTCCATCGAGCCTCCGCACAACGCGCCGCTGGCGGGATCCAGACCGAGCCCTGACCCTGAAATTCTTCCTCAGGCTTCCTCGTGCTGCACGTGGACGAAGAGCACTGTCAGCAAGTGGACCTGGACCAGCTCATTTCGGGTGAGTTGGTGCCGCCGCTTGCGCTGCGGGGGCGCGGGGACTCGCCTCTGCCCACCGCAGCCGGGGCTCGGCCCCGCGGGACGGGACTCCCCGGGCTCGGCGTGGGGCTTCGGGCCATCGCAGGGGGACGAGGCTGCAGCAGGACCCAGCTCTGCCCCGGGCAGCTCCTGGCTGCGTCCCCCCGTCAGCTGGCGGGGGACACGGGGAACGTCCCCAAACCTCCCACCAGCCCGAGGACGAGCTGGCACCTGCGGGCAGCGGGCTGGGGGCCGCCCGGGCTGAGAAGCCAAGGTGCTGCGAGGGGGGTGCAGCTCACCCAGCAGCGGGGCTCTGCCGGTGGGTGCCCAGTGAACCCCAAAACCCGGGCAGGAACCCGCCGGGCTGCGCCGCGAGCTCCGGTCCTTGGCCCGGTGGCGGCTGTCGGGGCGGGTGCAGCGGCTCAGCGTCAGCAGCGTTCGTTTGTAACGTGTTAACCGTTGAAAGGCAGAGTTAAGGCTCGTTATGGAGGGCTCATAAAAAGTCGACTTGAAGCTGGTGGCATTTTGGAGCAGAGTTAAGTAATTTTCCTG